GAATCGTGCAACACGGCTATCGTGAATCATTCGTCAAATATAGTTTTTGTCCGCAGACAAGCTCAACCTGTTCGTACGGATTTACTGGAGTATGTAACTCAGATCTGACGGATTGAGAGCCGTTGCCCTTCATCCGCTACATAACGTGGCAGCACGAAAACTGATCACTCTGAATTAACGCGTTTCTCAAGAGAACCACTTAACCGATTCTGCTAGCTGTTCACTGCAGATGTACGTCCTTCCACCCTCCCCCCCTACCTGAAGGAATTTCCTATCGGTAGGCATTTCAAAGAGACAAATCCAAGATTCTTTGGCACTCACCCTCATGGCTGCCCTTGGTTTAAGAGATGGGCTCGATTACAGCTGTCAATAAGTGAGCTTTGACGTTAATGATGACTGTCTTGTGACCGACCCTTATGGAAGAAAAATAAAACAAACAAGCCTAAATGTTTCATGCAACGCCGTGATTTCCAAAATGTGCTTTCTACAATTCATTTTAGCTTCTCTTTTGCAATGAGTAGCCGAGGGCGAAGGTTCAGAATCATATGCTAGTGTGAAGTACAGTCACTTACCTATCGTTTAGTTGCTGGATTAGCTGTGAAAGTTGCATGACGAACTGCAATTGACGGATATCTTATGACACTTGAGTAGAATTGTTTAGGAGAAGGTGTCGGCCTGCTGTTGTCAGCCCCTACTCACCATAAAGGAGAATTTCTGTCCGCCATTCGTATTAAGTCCAAAAGAAGGTTATAGGAAATGCCGCCTACTCCCTGAACGGTGATGATTATTGAAGAGACGGAAGATGTTTCGTGGATTGTATCAGAGAATCTGGAGCAAATATTACCTTATGCAACATGGGCGGTGAAACCGTGAAAATGTGTCGCAAGGAGATGTTCTGAATCTTCATGTCAAATCACCACCCGTTAGCTGTGCTACTTAGCTCTTGAGTGTCAGACGAATAGCTTTAGAAGTAATGTTTTTTTCTAGAGGTTTAAGTCTCATCTAATAATGCTACTTTTAATCTCTAATCTGGCTAAGAAGCTACTTAGAATGACGAACCGAACATGCGCTGTGTGTTTTCGGCTGTCTTTCATGCGGAGCCTGTCACCACCCTCTCCAACTCCAACGAAGCATCGGATGCCAAGTTTGTCGTCATGCGTTCTTCTTTCAGATAGTTGTCATATGAAACATTCAGTCAGTATCTTAGTTGGACTTTTCGATTGGATTAACATACTTTGTGATGACTCTAATGTAAGGAGGTTTTCGAATGAAAGACTTATTGATTTATGATAAACGAGCTCACTGTCTCACTTTTGATTCGTATTACCTTAAATATGGCAAATGCGTAAGACAAAAGGAAGCGGATGGATTTGAAGAAACCAAACTAATATTTTAGTTTGATTATGATACTTGCTGGAAAGAAGATCTGATTGATTAATTAATTTCCTTTCTGCAATTACTTCTTATCATTAGTCTTTTCCTCTTTCGCTAAGTAAGAACAATTACAATAAGCACGTTGTTTACATTTTGGGCTGATTATCGCATTGAAGCCAGCATTTGGGTGGGTTTAATGAACTGAAGCCATATGAGAGATTGCATCCGACATCAGGGCAGTACTTCTCGCCTGCTCTGATATGACCACGCCAAGAAATCGTGTTGTCTCTGTTGTTCGGGAATTAATGACTCGCCGTTCGTTTTTCTGTTGGTTGCACCGAAACAACAAAGGACGAATTCCCTGCTCAAAGGAATTATTACTATGGGAAATTTTTTCTCCCTTAGACTCAAACGAGGCATTTCTGCAGTTCGAAGCCGACCTCTTACCACTGTGTTACTGGACCCTATTGAAAACATGATCAACCAGCTCATATAACCGGAAAATTCCAGAAAATTTCATCAGCTGCTTTCAGGAATTTGTTGAAATTTTTCAGCTTCCTTTGGGGAGTACAGAGTCAGTATTTTTAAAATTATCTTTAAAGCAAAATCTATAATTCTGTTTGTTAAGAGTAATATGATGCGGGATAAAAATGCAAACGGGTGAAACTCCAGTTTATCTGGCGATAGGCAAAATTTGCAGAGAATGGGATATTCGGTCAATAAACCTGCACGGGTATTTTAAATCCATGTAAAAGTTTACCGTTACCGTTGAATGAAGAAAATGACACATAAGCAGGATTGAGAGATGGTCCAAATAAGGGATCAGTGCAAAAGTACTTTAACTAGGTGATAGTAGGTTACGCAGAACAACAACCAGAATGCGTTAGTGTTGCCACAATAAGGCCTAGTGCGTACGACCTAGAAACTTTCATTTTCACTAATTAGGCGATTGCAAATATGTGTCATTGCATTTGATGAGAACGAGCGGTAGATCCGTAGAGTCAACATTCAACTGCATACTGTAACTGTCGATTGCCCCTTATCCACCGATTGGTCCTTTTTTAGTTGTTCATTGAGTGTTCTCTCATCACACTACTTTGCGGGTGAAAAACAGATGACAGCCAGTTTTATAATCGATCCTTAGTCGGAGATAAAAAACCAGAATAAAACGTTACTTCCAAAACTATTTGTTACTGCAATTGGTCTTCTAGCTTAAAGATCTATTACACGACTGCCTTTTAGGAAGAGGAAGCATGATGAAAACGTTTTCATAGTAATCTTTTGGAGGTTAATACTAATGACAG